GATGGTGAGTGAAGAAGATGAAGATGGTGATGAAGAGATGAAAATGGTGATGAAGAAGATGAAGATGGTGATGAAGAAGATGAAGATGGTGATGAAGAAGATGAAGATGGTGATGAAGAAGATGAAGATGGTGATGAAGAAGATGAAGATGGTGAGTGAAGAAGATGAAGATGGTGATGAAGAAGATGAAAATGGTGATGAAGAAGATGAAGATGGTGATGAAGAAGATGAAGATGATTGTGATGAATACGTTCTGTCCGTTCCAGCGTTCAAGCCTGAAATCAATACAGCTGAACTAGGAGCTTGTGCCAAAAGGAGTATGTATGTTTGTATGTTTGTATGTATGTATGTTTGTATGTATGTATGTTTGTATGTATGTATGTATGTTTGTTTGTTTGTTGTTAGTATGGATGTATGTATGTATGTTTTTATGTATGTATGTATGTATATATGTATGTATGTATGTAGGTTTGTATGTATGTATGTATGTATGTATGTATATATGTTAAAACCAAAACCTGATGAATGATACTGAATGTGTGTATCTGAGCATATTGAAAAGCAATGAAAACATTAAAAAAACCTACGAATAATGATGACATTTATGACAAAAAACATGCATACAAAAATAAAGCAGAACATTTAAAAAAAATGAAAAAATTTTAATTTATACAAAACAGCTGATGCTACAAAACAATATATCGCTAATACAACTGATACAAGCTTATTTCATTTGCAGGTTAATACAAATAAATTTTGCATGTGTGTTTGTATGTGTGTGCGTGTGTGTGTGTGTGTGTGTGCATCACATTTTTAAAAAATTTTGGAATGAATGAACGAGATCAAGCAGATGAATGAATGAATGAATGAATGAAGGAATGAATGAATGAATGAATGAAGGAATGAATGAATGAAGGAATGAATGAATGAATGAATGAAGGAATGAATGAATGAATGAATGAGAAACAAACAAATAAACGAACGAATGAACGAAAACATGAATAAATGAATGAATAAAAGAATAAATAAACATAATTTGATTTATTTCTTCAAAAAATTCACAATAATTGCACATAAAATGTTCTTTTAAATTTAAAAAGGGGCAACAAAAATCAATCCGGGAAAGCACTTAAATGACATGAATGCGTTTAAGATACATTCAAAAATAATAACAACAACAGTAACAATAATAAATAATTATAAATAACATTTATTATAATAATATAATTAATAATATCAATTATTATTTGAGGAATGACAAAAAAAACACAGTGTGAGTGTATAAAGCGATACTACTACTATCGTATTGTGAACTGGTATATAAATAATATAGCAAAATACATACAAAATTGCATATAATACAAAGTATGAGTACTAAGAAGTTCTGAAGAGTATTCTTGTACTATTGCTAATATGAGTGAATAATATATATATATATTATATATATAAGAGGATGTATAAGCCATTTTAGTTTTATTAACTATGTTCTTTATACTTAAAAGTTCCATTGTGAAACATGAAAGCGTTATCAAATACATCTCAAATATGAAAAATGAGTGTATCATTGCGTGATATAATGTGGGAATATTATTTATCAATCTTCCATCCATCCATTCGTTCGTTCGTTCGTTCATTCACTCATCCATTCGTTCGTTCATTCACTCATCCATTCGTTCGTTCATTCGTGAATCCATTGAATCGATTTATCCATCCTATCATGCTAAAATATCTAATTAGAGTTACTAAGCTAGAAACGTTATTTATTATTCATAAATATTGACGTCATCATCATCATCATTATTATTATTATTATTATTACTATTTTGACCATCATCATCATAACCATCGTCGTCATCATCACCATCATCATCTTGTTGAAGCGCGAATCTACGCTAGCAATACCGCGTACAGACATACCAGCATGCCAATTAAATTAAATGAGCTACAATTAAAAATCATCTTCGTCGTCTTCATCTCCATCATCACATTCATCGTCACTATCATCATCGTCGTCCCTTTCATCATCATCGTCGTCTTCATCATCATCCTCGTCGTCATCATCAAAATATACCTACAGCAGCAGCAGCAACGACAAATAACATCTGCTGAAGATATTTCAAAGTTAAGCGCCTCATTATTTTCACTAATCTACTCCACTGTGACGTCATCAGTAGCGACAGGGACGATGACGATGACGTCGATAGTGATGATAATGATGACAACAGCGGTGATGATAATGATGACGCTGCGCTTCTCGCTTCTCTGAGGATCGGTTGGAAACCAGGTGGAGGAAGAACTGAGGAATGAATGAATGAATGAATGAATGAATGAATGAATGAAGGAATGAATGAATGAATGAAGGAATGAAAGAATGGATGAATGAATGAATGAATGAATAGATTGAAAAATAATTAGTGTCAAGATGTCAAGATATAAATATATAAACGAATGAGAGAACGTTCAAAGAAACTTTCTCCCCAAAACCTTAGTAATTACCCTTTTCAAGGCCCACCAAAAACCCCCACCTTCCCCTTTGAAGGCTCCTAACCACCCACTCACTCTCTTTAAGGTCCACCTCATAAAAACTTCCCCCTTCCATATTTCTGGCTTCAATTAAATATTTTCTGAAGTGTTGTGGGTAGATGTGCATGATTCGAAAGATGAAGTTCTGCGTGTTGCTGTTGTTTTCCTGTTTGTGAGTGTGTGTGTATGTGTGTGTGAGTATGTGTGTGTGTTTGTGTGTATGTGAGTGTGTATGTGTGTGTGTGTGTGTGTACGTGTTTGTATCAAACTAACATCATCGAAAAGCAGAACTTGGTAATTGCCAAGTTGGCTACCAACTTCCAAAACCTCGCGTCCTTTTGTGAGCCGGGGCCAGCTGATAGCTGAGTAGCTGAGTTTTGGTTTTGAGGAAATTGAGCAGTTTAGCTGGAAAGTCTGCTCGTGTAGTCGCGCTCGCAGTGTTCCTCGATCGTCCTCACATTCGATTGTAGGTTTGTCTGTTTGGTTGGTTGGATGACCATGATTGACTGTTTGGTTCGTGAGATGTGATTGGCTGATTTGTAGCACGAACTCATGAAACAACTAATCATAAGCAACAACAACATGAAAAACAAACAAACAAACAAACAATCAACGAGGTCAATCGTGTGGCTGACTTCACCGACGTACAGCCTTTCGGAAGCTCCTAACTTGCGCGCCACCGACGGATAATCCACCTGACATTTTACCTGCGCGAACCAACGAGACAAATTATTTTTAAAATTACTTTAGAAATAATTAAACATAATTATTCAACATTTTTTTTATATAAAATTAAAACGCACTTCTAAGTACTGAACCAAGAATTATAATATCACACGCCTTATTGATGATAAACAACAGAACCGTGAAACAAATTTGGCCGACCTTCTTATGATCGTCCGATGGTGTGATCCGAAGATACTTCGACGAGATAGCCATGTCGTAGTAGAAAGATTTCCCGCCTTCATCACGTGACAAACTTACGAACCTATCAAACCAGTCAGTGTAGTCGGACCCCGCAAGGAAAACCCTGACCCTGGGCAGCGGGTAAGTCCTAACCACCTCGCAGATTATTAAACTCTCGTTCTTTAAACGTAGGTGAAGTTTCGTTTTTTGGGCTGACGATGATGATGATGACGATGGTGATGGTGGGTGGTCGTTGTGATGATGATGATGGGGATGGTAGTGGGTGCTACTCCGCATGTAGATTTCGGCCGGAGGGACTAAGAGGGGGGAATATTTGAAATATCGAATGTTTTTTCACGTACACACACACACACACAGACACACACACACTCACAGACAGACAGACAGATATACCTAGTACTTGTATGTGTTTAGTTTTTACTTGATCTGCAACCCTGCAACCGTACTGACCCGTCTGACTCGTCTTTAGACCTTTTGCAATTTAAATTTTATTTCGCAAGCGTTGATTGGCTGAGATTTTTGATTGGTTGATTAGTTTTTGATTGATTGGTTGATTAGTGTTTTGATTGGCTAGTTGGATGTTGCTTCAATTGGTTGGTTTGTTATTTGACATTTTGTAGAAAATTTTTTTATAGGAAACTCATCAACGTCAGTTAGATACATACACACAAACAAAAAGAGATTAAAAAACACATACATAAATCTATACAAACAAACAGACAAACAAACAAACACACAAACAAACAAACAAACAAACACAAAACATTTATAATCTCTCAAACAACCTGGGATATCAACTTTAAAAACGTGCACCCCATCCTTTTCTTCGTAAGAAAACTTCGTCTTGGGCCACAACTCAGAGTTTATATCAACCTCTTTTTTTTCTTGGGCCCTTTTTTCTGGACTCCCACCCCTTAGACCAACAACCCCTTCGTTATAATTAACTCTCCCCAGCGCGTCATCTTCGCCACTGGGTATGTGTATGTATTGAATTTGTGGTTTGGAGTTATCAGATCTGACTCTGCAGGAAATTTGCAACGGTTCATCCTCCCCGAGAACGCTCGAGCTTGATTCCACAATGATCGTTTGGGCCGTCTCTGTTTTCGGGTTCGTGATTTATAGATTTATATTATAGATAATTATGGCTATTAGTTATAGCGGCAGTAATAATTTTTTTTAACGTACAGTTGATTGTAAAGTGAGTGAATGGATGAACGAATGAATGAATGAATGAATGAATGAATGAATGAATGAACAAACGAACGAATGAATGAATGAAAGAATGAATGAATGAACGAACGAACGAACGAACGAACGAATGAATGAATGAATGAACGAATGAATGAATGAATGAACGTACTTCTAGTTAATAATTATTTTCAATTATTCAATCAGTCAATCAATTAATCAATCACTCATTAAAACAACCAGATTTATTTAATTGGGGCAAATGGCAAATTTAAATGGCTATATTTGATACAGCAATATTAATAATGCTGATAAACAATGGTATAATTTTGTCTGTCTGTTTGTCTGTCTGTTTGTTCGTCTTTCTCTCTGTCTGTGTGTGTGTGTGTGTGTTATTGTATGAAATAATAGTGTCTACGAACCAGCACGATTAGGAACCATTCCAAAGGTAATTAAAATCGTTAAGAAGTGAATCAAAAACATTGAATTAATTTCAACCATTTTAACTGTTTGTACGTGTGTGTGTGTGTGTGTGTGCGTGCGTGTATATGTTTGTTTGTATGTTTGTATGTATGTTCGTGTATGTGTGTGTGTATGTATGTATTTTAAATGCTTTTGGCAGAAAATATTATTATTATAGCAGTTTTATTCTAGTTATTGGTTTGTTTTATTTAATTACAATACAATTTAATTTGTTATAATATAAATTT